TTCTTGCGCCTCCCGCATATGAGGTTAATCGTTCTGCAAGGTGTAAAGAGGACGGCCGAGACATGTAGGGGTAATATGAGCGATACTCTTCCCAGAACCTGGGATCAGCAACAGCATTGTTGAATCCGGCTTCAAGTTCAGCAAGGCAGTCCATCAATGACTCGGGAACATACTGGCCACCAAATTGGCCGAAGCGAGCAGGAATCGCGGAGGGATTGGGTGTTGAGCCATTCGTAGTAGAATTAAGAGCGTCGAGTTGGTCAGCTAGACCTGGCTCTGAGGGGACATCAGCGTCGGTGATGACTTTATCGACCTTAACCATTGGGTGGCCATTGACACCGTTTGGTTCCTGAGCCCAAGACATGGTCTCAACTATGCCGACTTCTCTCGTGATACCATTTGTTTGGTTATGCTTTCCACTCCTTCGACCTGACACCTGAGCACAATACTCCTCAACAGCTTTTGCCCCTTCACCAGGCGCTGCATTGCCCAGAGTAGTCACAATTTGACTGCCAATGACGACCCCTTCCGCTATTGAAGCTACACTAAGAAAGTGCTCCCTCGTGCTAACGCCGAATCCGACTGCGGCTGGAATATTCCCAGAATAATGATGAACCTTCTTCAGCAGCTGTGGTAGACCCGCATTGAGTGTACCTGTTGCGCCTGTTACACCCATTCTTGAAACCACGTAGATGAAGGAGTCGGCAATCTTGCAGAGAAGCTTCATACGAGCTTCTGATGTTGCAGGAGCTATGAGCGGCACGTACGAGAGACCCGCCTTGGTGCAGAGATTTCTGAATCTAACAGCTTCCTCCGGAGGTAAGTCTACCATTATGAAACCATTGACACCCGCGTCTTTTGCATCTTTCAACATCCGCTCTTCGCCATAGCTTAGGAGAGGATTGTAATAGCCCATGAAGAGTACTGGTATGTGGAGACCCTTTTTTCGAGCATCTCGAATAGTCTGTAGACTTGACTTGACCGACACGCCATTTTTGAGAGCAATTGTGTTCGACTTCTGTATTGTGGGACCGTCTGCAATAGGATCCGTGAAAGGAAGACCGAGCTCAATTATGTCTTTGATAATATTGTTAAATACCATTTTCCATGATCACGGTCGATTGATGTACCTGCTCCACCAGCTTCCATTCCCAGCATGATGTCTGTAGTCTCTTCTGCAGTGGGATATCCTGCCGTGACATAGGTCACCAGGGCGGATCGCGCTTCTTTCTTGCATTGCGCAAACGTTGCCTTGAGTTCCTCCATCGTGGAATGCTTGGAGAGAAGGATTTCGTCGAGGGTATTGGAATACTGCAAAAAGAGAAATCCTACTAGCAATAACTCCAATGCTTTCCGCTTATTGAGTCATGAATCGAGACTTTCTGCACAAACCTTAAACATCCGCCGAAAGCGGAGCTTGGGTACGGCGGACCATTATTGGGTTGGCGCCACATCCAAAATTTGCCGATTATTCTAGTCCAACTTTTAGATCATCAATGTATGATACAGAGCACTTTTCAAACGAATACTAATGCTTATCTAACTTATACAGAGTTAGCAGATATTTCATCCTTATCTAGTAAGGTTCAACAAGATTAAGAAAAGCGGTAGTCAGGAGTGAGATATTAGACCAAAAGACCGCAAGCCAGGTTATGCCTGACATGAGAAGCATGAATGGTCCGCCGCAGTAGGGAGCAAAAGATGTTCAACTTACTCGATACCCGAGGACACCCGCTAGCGTTGGCTGTAATTTCATAATTACCGACATTCTGAGCCTTTCTAGTGGGGACCAGCCGGCCATCACTAATGAAAGGCTATATTACACTAGCGGAGACTTCTCAACGGCACCAAGTAGCTTACTACGGTAGGAGGCATATTAAATGTAACCCTCTCTACTAGTGAAATTGTAATTAACAACCTTCATACAGGTACCCTTACCGCGCTTGTACGAATGATGTACCACTCTAGGGGGTCATTTACCGCGTTCGACGCGTTAAGCTTTCTCAATTAATAACCTATCTAATGTGAGCCCACTGCCAAGCTCATGTAATTGGCTGTTGCAACAATATACTTAAAAATGCGGCCCGAAGTATTGGAGTTGGCCGTACATGTTGTAAGGCCTTGGCACTTGGCACTACATTCTGTGTATATATTTCATCTTCTGCAGGATCTATCCTAGACTCCTAAGCATCACATATCTGGCATATCATACCATTCAGCTCCACAACGTACGCCAAATCCTTGGCGTCACGTGACCGCACTCTGGGCAGTAGTATTAGCCTCTCCTCCTTCTAGAGATAGATTCTGCAGGTAGATAGAATCCATTCATCCACTTCATCACGAAGGATCAGCGTTCTAATTGGATAAAGTTGGCCTCTTCCTTCCTTCTTGAGTTTAGTTTACAAATAAGCAGTGCTTTAGTGGGCCAAGGCTGCAGAACTCTTGCCAAGCCATACCCCATAAAAAAATAGAATGCACACAGATGCGCACGCAGAATGTGTAGAAAGAGGGCATAGAATTGGCACATAGAATGCACAGAAAGAGGGCATGGAATTGGCACGTAGAATACGCAGAAAGAGGGCACAGAATTCGCACAAAGAATGCGCAGAAAAAACGAACAGAAAATGCGCAAAAGAACGCATAGAATATTCTTCTGTTCTTCTATTCTTCTACAAAATCTACAACTCTTATATATATTTTTTCAATTTGAAAACGTTACCACTAGTTCACTATAATATAGATACAAACAGGATCTAGAAACATTTTGACTTCAACTTCGACTTTGACTTCGACTTCGACTTCATTATTATAATCGTAAAAGATTGTTTAACAACACGACTAACTAACGTGGCGGAGGATAGGGTACAACTACACTCTTTGCTTCTCCATTAAGCTTATAGACGAGAAAGCTTCCGGTATAGGTTGAGACTATTTTAGGGTTAAGAGGGGGGAGGGCGGCATGAAGGCGAGTTTGATGTCATATGGGGATTCTTCGAAGGTGTAGTGGATCTCAGTAAAGGATATGCCTGCATTGGCATTGAGGAGCCCGGAATACTTGACCGCGACCTTTGGAGAGGGAGTCGAAGGAGCCTGTGATGTTTGAGATGTAGTAGCACGACACTTGTGATCCACACTGTCTTCATGGCAACCCCCCCGCTGGGGGACACCTTCATAATCCGTGTTCAATTCACGTCAGTACCACGTCCACAAAGGCAATAGATGTAGACTCGACTCAGGCAGGTTATCTATCTCTCTATTCCATAAGGTCAAACACGTTGTATGGATTTCAGGTGGATTGGCTGACTTGTGGTGATTTAATTCTCTTGATTGTCTTGCAATAGAGGTCTTCTTTCTTCGTAGCTTCTGGTCTCTACGTAATTTCGTTTTCACACAAGTATCTGTTTGCACGTTCGGTAAGATTGGACCTCCTAATTAGTGTGCAATGTCTCGCGAGGGTGGACAAATTCCTTCTGGCACCTTTACAAACTCACATGCCCGACTTGACGTTAATGAAAGTCGAGGTCCGGACCTTCTCCTCGTCGAAGGCGTCGACCATTTCGTGGAATTGCAGGCGCAGATACGTGTTGTACCACCAGCCCACACAACAAATAAAGCAGAGATAGGCGGCAGCGGTGACGCCGACGGGGATCCACCTGGCAAAAATGGGGAACTTAGCCAAGACCTCGCCACAGTGCAAAGCAGGTGGGAGAGAGGGAATGAGAGCAGCGGAAGGTTAAAAAGTGAAAGAGCAATCAGGAGGAGGATCCCTTACGTATGCTGAGCCAAGCTGATAGCGGCATGACTATTGGTTGAAAGCAGGATGGTCGACTCCTTGGCCAGCCAGTCACTCAATGGAATCAAGCACAGCCCGTTCTGGTACACGCCGACGAGCTGCATGACGGTGCCACCGATACCGAAGAAGCAGGAGCAGAGGGCCAGGAAGGCGACGGTGCACAACCAGGCGTGCCGGCGGCGGCGGACGCGGTGCTGCGCGTGTCGGCTCTTGTGCTGGTGAGTGGGACATCGCTTGCCGCCTTCCTCGTCCATTTCGGCATCCGCGGTGGCTGACTTCTCCCCGTCCCTGTCGCCGTTGGCGTCAACGTTCCCGGTCTCAGTACCGGGAACCCTGGCGGTCGGGGATGAGGATGGTAGTGGTATAGTCAACGTGGGCAGCTGCGACGCTTCGACGAATCCGTTCTCGAGGTACTTCCACACCCACATGCCGACAAGCAAGGCCTGGAGGAAGAAGAACATCATGAAATCAACGGACCGACAGCCAAGCCCGGTCTTAGGGGTCAAATAAGAGACGGTGAAGGCGAGCGCGCATGGGATCAACAGCAGCACCAGCACCACCGAGTACAGCTTAGCCAAGTCGCGATTGCTGATAGCGACCCGCTTCCGTAGGTCGTCGACGTGGTATCGCCGCGCAATCGCCTCGGCCCAGTGTTGCTTGTTCCGCCCGCGATTCCACATCCAAGCGGGCTTGTAGCCCGTGTCGAAAGATGGCACGAAGCCGAAGAAGGTCGGGTACGGTTCCGTGATCTCGCGCCGGCCCACGATGCCTTCAAGCGTGTTCGGATTATTGCCAGCCAACAGGCAACTGACTACTATGGACTCGAGTGGCATCACGATCCAGAACGTCCCATATGCTAGCGCGTGAGAGGAGCTGTTGCGACCTAAGTTGGCACTAAGCTCTGTTCGTGGCAATGCGATTTTCAGTCAGCTTTCTGCTGCTCTAAATTTGGCCTATGATTTCGATGGAGAGCAAGGAGGAGGGGACTCGGGGAGAAAATATGGAGGTCGCATAAGCTAACCTTTAAGAGCGTATCCGAACGAGCCTAAGAAGAAGACAACGGGGGCACCCACAGTCGAACCAAATGGAAATTGACAAGCCAGCATGGTCCTCAGCCGAACCTTGATGGACTTGGCGCTAGATTCCAGCCTGTCCCGGTCGATCGTGCCGTTGGGAGTCAACAGGCCTTTCTCTGCCTCCTCCAGTTCTGCAACCAGTGATTGTGTGTCCAGCCAGGCCTGACCTTCTTGACCATCGTGGGATCCCCAGGCCAGATCGAGATTGCCCACCAAGATAGCGAACAGGATACGGGCGCGGTCTGTGCGCGATAGACGACCATTGTCGATCTTGTCGCGGATGAAGGCAAGCATGCGCTTGTCGACGACGGCTTCGTAGAGCCCACTGAGCAGGATTGGCCCTGAAAAGGTGAAAACTACGATCAGCCAGTAGACAGTGTCGATGGTGACTAGCAGGCTAGCCGCGAGAGTAAGGAACGGCGAGCTCAAGAGGCCTGACACTTGACCTAGTTCCACATCAAAGAGCGCACGCGGCAGCTTCAGCTCCTGCTGTCGCGGCACTATCAAACAGAAGGCGACTGCGGGCAGGAGGAAGCCGACGAAGAGTTGGGTCCAGTCGTCGACTTTTGAGCCGCGATTCTCTTGCCATCCCGGGCAATGCTGCCTTACCCACTGATAGGGCGCCACCACCTCTGGCGCACCGCTCTTGTTGCCGGTGTATGAGGCGCCGCATGGCCATTGCTGGCTTTGCAATCCCGTTACTGATTCGTTGATGAACAAGCCCATCGGCTTGACGGAACCGTTGACCAATTCATAAGAAGCATTTACCGCAAGCAAGCAGCAATAATCAAAGTCTTGGCCGCCCGATATTGGGTCTTTGATTTGCTGTTTGTTCAGCGCCTCGAGTTCTGGGAATGCATCAAGAACTGAGTCATAAGTCCTGTCCTCAGATAACACAAGACGTAACCAAGGGATGATGCAAAGGGCGAGTGCTGGAAAACCAACGTGGGCGAGTATCATCGCGTTTCCCGTCGCAGAAGATCAACACCAGGATGCGATTGGTGTCATCTTCAGGGTAAGATGATTGTGGGGTAGCACAGATGGTATGACTCTTGTGTGCCCGGTTTTGACTTTGACCTGGGTTGTATGAGCCGACCAGCTTGAGTGAGGCTGGGAGTTGCTGAAGCCTCGGTGGGCACCGGAATAGGGATCTGCGCATTGAAGCTTGAGCAAAGTTGCATGTGCATACCCATGTACATATCGTAGTCGGCTGCATGCAACCGTCGACCGAGGTGAGGGTACCAAAGCCGGATGGTATCGCAGGCGCCGTCCCTTCAACCACTGTGGTTCCGTGAAATGCAATAGGAAACGTGAGTGGGCGGTCGTGTGGATAGGAAAGCAATCGCGAGAGGGTATATCCAGATAGGGCGCTACAGGGTTTGGGACGTTCACATCGTGGCAGCAGAGAAGCTGGAGGAAAGAAAGAAGTGCAAGGAGACCTTTCCTAATCTTTCAGTTCGACGCCTCGATTCACGAAATCCTCCAAAGACCATCGGCGATTGGCCCAAGGAAGTCAGAAGACATGGCAGCTAATGTGCCATTTCGTCAGCATGCTTACTCGTAGTAATACTATCTTAGCTTCATTGTGGATGAGGCGGTGGCGTGAGAAGAGGTGCCCTGCGGAGATTTCCGGGCGTGGACATAATGGCAGAATGGGAGCGGAAGGCTTTGGGGTACTTGTAGTTACCAGTACCTAGATCACCAGTAATCATACCATGTGTCACTGATTGAGCTCCCTTGTTGACAATAGTATTCCAGCGTACGGAGTCGAGCATCAAAAGTCTTCAATATACACTAGCTAGGATGAGTAAAAGCTAGCCTTTCTTGTGCTAGCAGTGTATTAGTCGTCAGTGGGACCGTAAGGATGATTAGAGTTGGCGGATCGCTGAAGCTTAACTGATACAGACCTCTAAGCCACATCAAATAACTTAAAGAGGGCCCTAAGGGTCTAAAGGGAACGGGGGCACTACCCCTATAATACTACGTACATGTTTTAGATCACGCTAAAGCTTAGATCGAGTGTACTAGTGGCGCTCTAGCTTTAGTGTATATTGGAGATTTTGATGCACGACTCCGTATGCAGTATGGTAGTTCTGCTGTAGCCTTGGCAAGAGGACCATCAATTCAATTTGTTCCTGGATGCTTTTGGTCTACATCTACCTATATCCATTTGTACTCATCATGTTCAAGATGGTAACTTAAGGTGATAATTCAACTGAAACTGGGCGCTCGGCACGTGAAAAGAGGCAAGCATCCAAGAAGCAACAGGCGCGTAGCAAAGTAATCCTGAACGCACCATAGCTGATATTGCGCCAGAATTCAATGTATCTCCATGGGCGTTCGGCAAGAGGCTCCATGGGGCCGTCTATAAGATGGCGGTTTTGGATCTAGCCGCGCCCACACTAGATGTTTTCACTACATACCAAAACCCAGAACGGGAAATAACCTACCGTCTTGTTTCCGGATCCCGATGCCTCTCAGAACCGATCGACCTGCTTGTCCCCGGTGCGAGTGGTCAGCTTTAATAGAGAAAGATATCGGGGCTGGAACGCCTAAGACCTTATACGAGTTTTGGACAGATGCCCTCCAATTCTTTGGGGCAGTCTTCGACAAGGTCGTAATAACCAAAGACCTGAGCAATTTGACTCTCGGAGCCGAAGAGAAGGACGACTGGTTCAGTTTCTGGAAAGGACATCAAGAAAGACCAAACACTTCCATATGAAGAAAAAAGATTTATTTGCATTCGCCCGCTACTTATGCTCAATCAAGACTGAGAGGGCTGGGAAAACTAGTACTTAACAGATAGCCGGCGCCTGTACCCACAAGTTGAGCAGAACCATTTCAATCCTCCAAATGATAGTCAGTTGAACACAACCCAAAAGTCCGTACCGCAGGGCGCCTCCTATTGCCTAGGCCCGCAGACAGGACGATTGACGATATGGAGACGGAATCCGGACCTACCGCAAAGCAAATGCTCTGTCAGGGAAACAAAGGACCTGCTGGTACAATGCAGGCTTAGTTGGGCGCTTAGCTTCTGGAAGAAAAGTCATGGTGTCGGCCTGCAGTGCTTTAGGTTGGATCCTGCAGCTGCCATAAGCGGGGACAAAATCTGTCAATTTAGAGGCTCCGAATGCTCGTATGTAATACGAGAGCTGGTCAGGGTCAATATGTCTTGGTTGTTCAAGCCTGTAAGTTGGCTATCGCCATCCACCTCGAATGCAAATTGACGAGTTCAGATTTCCTCTGCCCAGTCACGGCTTGGGCTGGGTATGATCAATCTTGTCTAGCAGGAGAACAATGTCAAGGAGTCGAAATAGTGTGGTATCAGATCGATGCAATCCTCAATCCCTTGGATGGAATCATGCTGTACCGAAATGCAAGACGGTTGAGCTTTTGAGTATGTAATCGAAGCTGAACGCCGGTGCTTCCTTTCTTATTTATAGATCAACGAACTACGCTGACTACTTATTGCTCACACAGATACTGAAGCGTGGCCCTTATATATCAGATGAAGAAACCTCTACAGGCGAGCCCTCTCAATGAGGACGGACTGTTTATTATTGGGTTTGCAACATGTCCATAATCTGGACCCCCTGCGGCTCCTTGCCGATTATTCTATTCCCAGCTTTATACCGCCACTTCTCCAATGGCCTCTTTCATTGCTTTCCACCAACCCCCTTTGCTACTCTTTTCCTTGGAGCCTTCAATACTCACCCCTCCCCCTCTTCCTTTATTTCTTTATCATTCCTTCCATTGCTTTTCCCATCGCTGTTTGAATTACCTCTTCACTGCTCTCCGACCGCTTTCCTCATGGTTCTCAATTTCCCTCTCCATTGCCCTTAATCTGTATTCCCTTCACGACTTCTTATTCAGCCACCTCATTGCCTCGCCTCTGCCCTGCCTACTGCCCTGCGCCTACCCTCTTTACTACTTTTTGCTGACCGTTCGCTGCTTCGTCATCCCACCCTATTGATCTAGCCCAGCTTCAGTCTATGCATAAGCCTCCTGATGTAGGTCGGTTGCTCCCATTCGGCGGCAACTTGCAGCTCAGACCACCTATCATTTCTTTGTGCATAAATTAGGCTAGCATGGAGATCTGTCATGATCACATCTGAGGTCGAATGTCAGCAGATTGCTGCCCTTGAGGTTGCTCTTCAGCCAGAAAGGTGCCATAGCTTGATAAGAGGCACCCATTAGCTCTTGTACAATGCTTAGCTCTAATATCAGGAAGTTCTGGTTCCAAGCTCGAATAGCTCTAAATCCACCATACTTCTGTTCTTCAGTCTCACATCTCTAGGTCGGTCTAGATTCAGATAGAGCTGTGCTCTTAGCAGGATGTACTCTCCTCTAATGTGTCTATATAGCAGCAAATCTTTATAATGTAGCAAAGCAGCTGAGAATGGAGAGGGAGCGCGTGTTCTGGGAGGTGCAGGTTGTACCTGCTCAGCCGCAATCGTGCCCAAGCCGCACCCTCACCGTCGCTTTAGCTAATCCGCAACCTCAGCTGCACCGGTGATGTCGTTCTCCACTGCGTACTAGCCATCCTATTGTGTGTTAGCTTTATTATTCACTCTTCCACACTCGAACCAAATTCTTCACTCTCACTGTGACCTTTTATCTTGCACTCAGTATTCCACAAATCTCATCCTCTCACCATAGGAAGATCTGCATGATCCTTTGACCCACAAGCTCATCCTCCACATCTGTTTGCTTCTGAGCACGAGATAGCAAATCCCCTACTTTCCAGAGACGGGCTGCCTTACTCTGGCCTTGATTCAGCTCAGCAACAGCTCACTCTCTCACAAAAAGCCACAGACACGTGAGCCCAGCTCTTGCACAAATCCTTCTCTCCTGCATGTCATCAGTGAGCTCACACACGGAAGCCACGTCACAACCCCACAAAAAGCGATTTTCTACCCTTCTCTCACCTGAAAATCTCCCAAGCTCATACGACCAAGCTCAACAGTTAGCTGTGAACAGCTCATACCAACAAGTCAGACTTAAGAAAGAAAATCATCAAACACGGTGTGGCCGTTTGCATCCAGCCACCGCAAAACCTTAAAGGGTTCTGAAAATTTTCACACCTTCCACATTGCGTAGCTGCACGCATCCGGAAACCACGTCACCGACCTTGACTTCACAACATACCACATTACTCTCTCACATAACAAACAATAAGAAACAAGAAGGCAAAAGAACAAGGAGCAGCATCATCAAGCTTGAAAAATTCTGCATGCCCTCACCTCTGCTTTCATCATCTCAGCAGTAGATCTTCACGATCACGATTTGGCTTCCTCATCTTCCTCATCTGCCAACTTGACTGCACTGCCCTATAGCAGATCTCCGCAGTAAACAACAGCAGCCACCAGCAATATCATCATCGACGGCAAAGGCCATCATTGTGCATCTTCCAGCTTTCGCTCCCAACTCACATACTATTCATCTCTGAAAGGGAGATCAGCCACATCTCATTCTTTCAAGCCTGCAACAAAGAGCAAATACAGATCTCTTTGGCGAAGCACCTGCCCATCATCAGCAGCATTCAACTCATTGTCATCACATTGACCTCGCATCTTGCATCTTGAAGCTCTCATCTCATCACCCTCTCGATTCATCCTTGCGTGCATCCTTCCTTCCATACAGACGCCGCATATCAAACTCCTTGCATACCCAAAAAAACTCAAAAAAACCAGAACCCAGCTTATAGCAAAGCGATATCGCAAGCATAGCTACACCCAAACTGATATCTGAGCTCAGAACGACATGGCTGTTAAGCCGGATGAGCCACCAGACGCTCAAGAGGCTCGCGATCAGATCGGTCACAGCGGCAAACATCTAGTCCTTGAGTTCCAAGGTTGGAAGGCCGAAGATATGACACCGCTTGTACTTGCGCAAAGTCCATCTGCAAAAGGGCTGGGTGGATGGATGGGGGTACCACAACATCACGACATCACGACATCACAGGGAGTGCTGCTGGTCCCTCGAACACCCCCGATCCATCTTTCGGTTCATGCCGCATCGTCAGTTCTGCTTACCAAAAATGGCCCACTAGTAACGATGCCGGGATACAAGCTCCTCTGTGGGCGAGAACCGCCGGCATCTCGACGATATCAAGCGTGTGCTACTGTTGTGTGGGTGGACTGCCTCACCAACATCTCAACACCACAACAACACATTGTGTGCTGTTCCGCGGGCAAGACTTCAGGCACATCTCAGCGTCAACCACCATGTGCTGATGGTCCGAGGGGCCAAGCTCAAGCAAACCTTCTCGAGCGGTGGCGATGGCGGTGGCGGTGGTGTTCTCGGCATCAAGATAGTTACCTGGTTGATTCTACCTCTCATCATGAGGATTCTGGGGGCGGATCGGAGCTTGAACTCCTGATCCCAGTGACACCTCAACGTGTGCTGGTCTGTAGACAATACCTTATGCTCACCTCAACGTAGGCTATGGGGTGTCGAGAGCATCCCCAATACCGCTGGCCGCCTCAAAGGCATGAAGGGCTAGACTATTGGCCTGCCGGCTGCTGGCTGGCATGGCATGCCATGGGATATTCCCATTTCATGGTGTGCTGGTCCCTGTCGAATATCTCAGTAGGAACCGACTGGTTCCGGGTCCACCTTGGGCCACAAAATGGCATGGTCTACCAGCAAGGTAATGGTCAAGTCGGGCCAACGTGGTCATGGTCGGCTTCCCCCAGTCTTACCTCAACGTGAGCTGGTGTTCTCCAAGAGAGTTCAAGCATACCTTAACGTGTGTGATGAATGCAAGCATTGATCTCATTGATCTCATTGATCATGGTCGATTTGGAAAAGGGTGGATGATCTGCCCTCGACAGGATCGGAAGATCCTAGACACTGGATGGCGGCATCGAAATGATGGCGCTTTCCACGCTGGACCAGCTCAACGAGCCTGGTCCATACTGCCTTGTGCTGCGCCGACTCGGCAGAATAATTCAAGTAAAGCCGTAAGACGAGGCTTGACCTCGCAGGCCATCTTCATCTGTATGAGTAAGACGAGGAGCCTCGCTCCCATTCATCAAGCTCGACTTGATCTTTCGACCTGGGCAAGGGGTTAGCTTATACCCCATCCAGTGTACACCTATTACCCTACATGATGCTGGAATTACCGGCACCATCGCGGAAATGCAATATCCATACACTCTTCAACTCAAGGGGGTAGCAAATACCCCATTCAGTGTACACCTATAACCGTACATGATGCTGGCATTACCGGCACCATCGCGGAAATGCAGTATCCGTATACGCTGCAACTCAAACATCGGGAGGGCGGGAGGGCGGTTGCGGACCTCACTGAGTACGATGTCGTTAATACCGACCATGGTATGAGGACTTCGAAATGCCTCCAGTTGCAGTATCCTTGATTTGATTTGAGCGAGTCACTATTGGTCAGCTGTGGAATGGGCAGATTGCCTACAGGACCTAATGTTAGCATCAAGAGCAGACGATGGAATGAATACCTTTCTAAACCAGACACTTGTTACTCTCCCTCCTTAGAGATAGCTGAGCAGGATGCAGTCAAACTCGATCATTCTCGGCTTCGTTGTTTGATATGACATGGCAAAGGCAGTAATGGACCTGCTGACTTCTGCATCCGGTTGGGAACCTCGAGATTTCCTTCCTTGGATCTTGAGTTGGTGCGGAGCCTCATCACATATCGGGCTAGCCTTGCTCTGCTTTGTGTGTTGCTGGTTCTGTTGGTTGTGGACATACACACAAGACCATAGTCATGGCGCGGTGGCTCCGCTGATGACCTTGAATATTGCGTCGATGGCGCCTTTTTTTTCTTTCATCCAGAAAGCTCTGGTCATATCCAGGTCCTCACCCAGCAATACGATGGACAAGTTCTGGGCTGTAGGTCACAAACTATCGATCCAGAGACGCGCATGAAGATGGATTGGGAGATTTTGTCAGGAATGCCAAGTCGAGCGGTATTGTATTTAAGTGGTTGCGCTCCATGTCGCGAGTGATCCGCGACATTTCGTCCTTTTGGCCCAACGGCATGGGATACTAGAGCGCTCCTTGAAAGATTTCGATCGGGACACTCAGTAACACTATACGCTACCGGCGGATGCGCGACAGAAGCGGATCTGATCCAGTGTCCACCAATGCCTAGAGGCAGCCAGGTCGAATTGCTTTCGACTTAGTTGATTGAAGACCTGTTCGCATTGGAGCGACGAATCGGCCCTTGAGATTTGCTGTGGGAGAGGTTAGATGCTGGAAGGAAAAATACACCCCGGTGGGATTGGCGCTGCTGACAGTACTGACACCGCCGAGTGGGTGCTGGTGTCTGCCGCCGTATGTCCTGGCAATCAACGGGGTGCTGCTGTTCCCCTCTGGTGATGGTGGTATTCACGCACACAAACATCAACATAAGGACAAAGTGATCGCTCGAGCAACCACTTCCACACCTGCGTCTGATGTTTCGAGGTGAGGGGTCAGGTCCAGCTTCTCCGGGATGAGGACCTCGTTTCCTTCGCTTTAGAGCTGGGGGAAGCTCGCCAAGAGCGATGTTAACAGACCAAGCGGCAACGACAAGCATGTACTTCCGCGCCATAACCATTGCCCTGCCACACAAGCAGAACACTCCAAGGAGTGCGCTGTCGGTCTCGGAATTAGACGCCAGGAACGAGCCTGTTTTGCAAATCTCGGACACTGTTGGCAGTCGGTTGTCTTAGCCCGAAAATTTCCATTGCTCTGCAGCAGGTGCCGTGAAGTGCAAGCGTCACGCCGTCAATAAATTACATGACCGGGCGGCAGGATTAGGTCCTTTTACACATGGCAGATTATTAGCAATTGAAATCAAAAGGGCGACAAGGTGCAACTGACAAGCCGAAAGATCTTGCAAACAGCTTTGCTGGGCTTCTAGCTGACGAGCCCTGTGCGGCGAAGTAAGCAGGGCAATCCACCAGCGGAGCTCGCCTTGCTTGCGTTCCCTCTCGCAAGATCAATGGCAGAGAGATATTTCCAATCTACATACCGGCAAATTCAACCTGCCACCAAAGATCGCTACGGAAATTGTATCAGCCTGCTCGACGCCTTGTCACGTAAGGTCGTCATATGCCCAGGTCGAGAGTATGCGCCAGAGCTCAATCCCGAAGCCTGGATAATGCCTCCGTCCCAGCAAGTGGCGCGGCCTAGCGAAGCGGCGAGGTTTCCCGATGAGAAGCGGCCTCAGCCAGTCTTCACTGTTTGTACCTATTCAGATGAGACGTGAGGAGGCCAGGTCGAATGGCTAGCAGGAGCACGAAATCATTTGCACATGAAGAACTGCGTAATGATGAAGTTTGAAGTCGCAAAACGGGAGAAATGATGCAGAGTGACTCCAGATATCACAGGGAAGAAAGGCAGAGCTGTCCAACACAGGATCGAACTTCGTGACTTGGCTCTCGAGGCGATCAAGAGCAAGAAAGTGGAGAGGATCTAGGAATAGATGAGTGCCAGGCATTTCGCCACCAAAGGGAGGGAGCGGGTTGGATGAGCACGAAAAATGGTGGATGATATTCGCAAGAGGGGGGTTGGATAAGGGAGCAGAAGGATAATAGCACGAAATCGGGGGTCTGTCTCTGGATGTGTACCTGGTCCCAGTCATCCGTCATCCACAGAATTTGGTCGCAGGCTACTACCTCGATTGTTCTTTTTGCGACAAAGTAGCTGTACTGGACATTTCCAATCTTTCTCATGAGCGATGAAGTACCAGAGTAAGCCAAATTCATCCACAACGCACCAGACAACCGATATACCTTTGAGTCCCCATCGTCGAACACATGTTCTGCTTCGCCGTTGAACGGGTGTATCATATCAGAAGAGAATCGGCTCCAAAATCCCATCGATAATTGAGGTTGTCTATTCAGAATCAAATCCGACAACAGTGTCCGCATTCGAGTCCACATCGGAGTCAAAGTCATCAAAATGCTCTTCGACTTGTTCTTGAAGATGTCGATTGCCGAATTCGAGTGCAGCCGCCACAGTCTGCTCTTGCTGGTCAAATTCGCCGCCTAGTTGATTCGCTTCCTCGGGTTGTGCAACTGTTTCATCGTCACGATCATTGCCGCCCTCTGGGCCCTCTACTGGTGACGGTGGGAGGGGAGGAAGTGGCTCGTCAAATTCATGGCCGGCTACATATTCAAGAGCAGGGTCATCAGCGGTGTCATAGTGAGCAATGTATGGCAGATTGTATCGGTGTTCAGGACTCCGCTCGTCGTTCAATCTCACAGTCATACGGTGCCATCGATGCAGCTCTGTATGCATTTCTTCCGCGTGTCTTCGCTGACGAGCTTCACTGGCGGTAGCGAGGACAAGCTCTCGTTCAAACAGGGCGTTTCTAAGTCGGAGATGTTCTGCTTCTCGTTCAAAATGCTCGGCATCTCTGGCTGCAAAGTCGCGGTCATAAGCAAGCTGCTGGATACCTGGTGCCGCTTCTCGCATCTCCCTTTCCTGGTGTCGTATTTGAACGCGTGCTTGGTGCAAGAGTGCTTCAAGTTGGTTCCGAAGCTGGTTCATTGCATCTCCCCTATCTCGTTGCAGACGATGTTGTATCTGCGCCGTATGGAGATCTCGTTGAAGCCGTACGTTGTTCTCGGTCAGCTGGTTGACAAGCGCAGTCCTCTGAGCGTCCTCTCGGTCAAATTCATGATGCAGAGTGATGAAAGCTTGTTGCAATTCTGCTCCCGCAAGAGTGAGACGTCGACGCGCCTCTCCCGCAGCCGGGCGACCACCGGCTAGACCACTGAGTTGGTCGAGCTCGTTGATGTTTTCTTGTGTAAGATGGAGGAGGCGTACACCACGATTGAAGAACGTCTCGGCATCCACCTCGGCTTGGAAGAAATCTGGTGGATCGTCGGCGTTCTCTTCGTCCTCTTCCACATCAGCAGCCCCAGCAGCAGCAGCGATTCCTGCCTCGCCCTGAGGGTAGGGAGGAGGGCTTGAGACCTGCTCAGCGGTTGTCACGCCCACCGAGCCGATCTCTACACCCTCCCCTCCCCCCTCGCCAAGAGAGGGCGAAGACAGACCCCCACTGGTTGCTACGCCAGTAGGAGATCCAACCTCCACGTCCTCCTTGACGGACTCTTGGCGCGAGGCAGCTCGCACACTGCTGCTGGTTACCGAGCGACTTTCTCGGCGGAGGCGGGGTGTAAAGGGCGGAATGGCGGAAAGCAAGCCGGGGAAGGAAGAGCTTGGCGAGGCAGAGGGACGAGTGGCGGGGGAGCGGACGACTGTGGCTATGGTGGAGGAGGAGTGGGAGGACGCAGGAGAGGACGAGGGCCGGGGAACGGTGATAGGAGTGACTGGAGTCGATGAGGCCATGGCTTCTGCTTTCCTTGGTATCAGCTCAGTGGAAAACTTGGCAGAGATGGGAAAATGTGAGCATACAACTGGTAATGGTAGAGTTAGCTGCTGGACAACAGAAGCTCGGCGTCGCGTTTTTGGTGATGATGAAGTCGTTGCGGATTTGGTAGTGCGCATAGAAAGGGCGAAGTTCATTAGGGCTGGGATGCTGTGACAGACGTTGTGACAAACACCGAGTGTTCAGCTCTCGGTCATGGAGTGCACATGGTTCTTCACTTCTCATCACAGCTCTTCACTTCTATGAGCACAATACCGCAGCTACACCTCCACTTCAAGCCTTCCCCTTCCCCTTCCCTTTACGACCTCCCCTCGCAGCCCCTTTCTTTGGCTTTTTGACCTCTTCTTCACTTGCAGAATCATCTACCTCATCGTCGCCCTCGTCAGCCGCTTTCTTGCCTCTCTTCTTACCCTTGGGGGCGCTCTTGGCAGCTCCTTTGGCAGCGGGTTTCTTCTTCGGAGCTTTGATGTATTTGTCCTTCTTAAGATCAACGTCCTCTTCGTCGTCCTCCTTGACCTCGTTCTCCTCGAGAAGCTCTTCTCCACCATCGGACTCGTCAATAGCATCTTCCAAATCTGGCTTCACCTTCTTGGCCGCTTTGGGCGCAACAACACTGCTTGCCTTCATGAAAGGTAACGGGTGGGATTGAGCATTGTACATTCGTGTGAATGTAGCCTTTGCTTGTGAGTCGATCTTCACGTTATCCTCCGACATTGGCCCCAGGCCAAGCTCAATCATAGCATCATAGTCCTCTTTCGTCAGGAAATATGAATCCATGAGATCGATCACCTCGGGAACCTTCTCTTTGCCTTGATCTTGCAGGACCTTGACCGTCTTCTGCCAGAGCAGTGGCATATACTGCTGTCTAATCTCATGCCTATCTCCTGAAGCTCGGAGACGCATGTGACCTTGCATCTCTTTGACATACCGACTGAGCTTCCCTGGTAAAGCATTAGCATCTGATCGCATTGCTGCCTGCGGCTACTTACCAAATTTGCTGTTTTGGCCCAACCAGGACACAAAGCCGACCCGCTCACCGAAATTGCCATACATATAGCTTGCCGGTCGCACAAAGCTGAAGACTGCATGGGTAGGCATAAGGCTCCACTGTTGCTGAGTCCCATGAATCATTCTGTCCACCAAATCACCGTCGCTGATGCTCGAAGCAGCTTTGTCAGCAAACTCAAGAAGTTTCAGATTTCTTTCCCTTCCAGAATAGTTATTGACGCGAGCAGGCTGTGTTTTCAGGTAGTTTTCTTGAAGCATAAGATAGCTGAATTCATGGTCGTTGAAGTAGAGCTCAATTTTGTCGTTGAGAGTGGCCGTAGAGCTGGGTGCGAACATTTGGGATTTTAGGATTTTGCCGACGATATCCCAAGGCTTGAGGATGACATGCTTCTCCCATGCTTTCGACATAGCCTTACCATCATCGAAGTCCATGGTCTGCCTGTCAAGCTTGGTAGTCGAGATCATGTTGATGATTTGCCTAATGTCCGAATGACTTCCTTCGATAAGAGCATCAAGAACTGATGCTGGTAGGTCCATGCCTTCGCGATAGCAGATAGTCTTCAGCCGTGCTCGAATCATATCGGCCGTTGGTCGGCGGAAAGGAACGTCCCATGTGACAAAGTCAAATGGCTTCATCTTCGGTAATCTTCGTTCATTGCAGATGAGTATCATAGGAACGCTGGTCTTCTTAGCCACAGCTGCCAAAGCACCAACTCCACCACGGTCTCCGGCCGACATGCCATCCACCTCATCCATGATCAACACGAGCTTACGTTTGGAAGCCTCCACCTTTTTTCCGTCTCCAGAGAAATAACCAAGGAGTGAAGTGGTGTCCAATACACCTCGTAGGCCATCTTCAACGAGTTTCTTGCTTCGTGTATCGCTAGCATTACTCTCAACAATGTCGAAGCCTTCGAGCTTCGCAACAAGGTGAGCAGCAGTCGTTTTACCAATGCCTGGAGGACCATGAATCATAGCAGCTCGAAAGACACCGGAACCATCTGGTCCAGCCTTCTTGAAGTGATATTTTGCATTGTTGTGCCATTTTCGCAACCAGTTTTGTAACTTTTCCACCTGTCCCTTATTACCACACACCATGGACACAGCTGTGGGGGCGTATTTGTCTGTCCATAGTCGGCTGTCAGCGGCTGGGGCTTTACGCTGCTGAGACGACGCTGAAGATGGAACTCTGTGGCCATCTTGTCCTACTTTCATGGCTGCTTTCGCTTTCGCAGCTTCTCGATCGGTACGCTCCATCTCTGCGGCTGCCTCACGGATCGCCTTCTCTTCTTTCTCTTTCTTCTCCGCATGCTTCTCTGCGGCTTTCGAGTCACCTCCATTTGGTGGAAGTCGTCTAATCAGTTCGAAGAGTCCATCTTCATTGATGGTCTTTAGCTTCAACTTGGCGATGGTTTCGAGCTTCTTAGGACCCGCGTCGTTGCCAAGGACAACATAGCTGGTTTTTGAGCTCGGACCCGTAGTAACCTTACCACCATGTCGTTTGACTAGAGCTTGACCTTCTTCACGCTCGAGGGTATCAAGTACTCCGGTGAACACAAATGTCAATCCTGCCAAGCAATTTTCTGCGCCGGTTGGGGGCACCTTGGAACCAGCTCCAGGAGGGGGTGCATGATGTTGGTTGGCATTGTACTGGTACTTGTTGTTCGGATCACGTGCAGGAGGAGTAGGAGCACGCACAGTCGGTATCGAATCGAAGATAGCCTGCATCTCCTTACTCTCCTCCTTTTCCTCCTTTTTAGTCGCCTTCTTCGCTGTTGATTTTGTTGGTGTTTTTCGGGCCCTTTTCTTAGGGACTTCGTCTTCCTCCAAGAAATCATCTTCCTCCAGCTCCGCACTCTTGGACTTGCGCTTTCGGCCGGCCGCCGAAGGAGCTGTAAGCTTTTTCCCCGCAGATTTGGCTTCTCCTGGTGCATCATACCCAGCGGTGTCAGACATCTCGGCATCTGCTTCCGGCTTCGGCTTTGTTGGAGCCTTGGCTTGTTTCTGTGTTCTATTGGCCGTACGAGCTTTGTGCCTAATCGGAGAACCATGGCTTTCGTCACTCTCTTCGTAATCGTCCCGACCATTACGTATCTTGCGAGCAAATTCGTCAGCATGTATATCATCATTTCCTTCTTCATCGTCGTCCAGCACGCGGACTTTATCATCAGTCTCATTATCTGCATATTTCCTGGCAGGAATATTTCGTGTTGATCTTCGGCTGCTAGGAGTAGATCCATTAGTGGCCCTTGGTTTTGACGGAGTCGTGTCAACATTCCGTGTCGTCTTGTTCTCGTGCGGCTTCGCGCGGATAGGTGTGGATTTCGAAGTTTTGGCCTTGCTGTTCGATGCGAAATACTCTGAGCTGGTAGTCTCTTCTACCTTTGGTTGGGGTCTGTTACTATAAACATTACCAGGTCGATCATTGAGATGTAGTAGTATGCATACTTCTCCTTCCTGGTCTTCGCCTTTTCTAGCTCAGCTTTCTTAGGTCTGGCATAGCAGTCAATCACCGTGATCGATAATGTAGACCAATGGGATATACTTTGTCTCTGTGATTTCTTCATCGTCGCTATCATCAACCACCTTTCTCCCACCTACTACGGTAAGCACTAAAACTCGATGGGAATGGAAAGGGCGTACGCTTCTTTTTGGGCGCAGGATTATCCTATGCAGATCAGAGTTAGCATAAATGACCATTAAGGTGAGCCCACGAAGAGAGGCTGCTACAGAATGCACCAGTCGGGCCGGATATAGAACAATGCGAAGCATAGCATGATCGTAAAGGTAAAGGAGTGCTTACAGATGCTTTCTTTGCTGCTGTGGAAGCCTTCTGCGAACCACCTCCAAAGAAGTTTCTGATATCGGGAGGCATGCTTTGTTCTTGATTGGTGATGTGACGATGTCTCCAGCCACTCTGGTCAACACGAAGTTACCTCACGAACTATAACGGTGGATCACAGTCGCGAGGAGTTGGAATGATCTTTCGACAATAAATTGTGTCGCGCTGTACTGGTGACGCGCCAAAGCATGCAGGAAGCTCAAGCACTTGAACCTCAGAGAGGCAGGTGCGCCGATCCAGGACAGGTAGGTATGCCGAGACCAGATAGGTAGGTATGCCGAATCCGGATAGGAAGGTGTGCCGAAGCGGGTAAAGCAAGTGCCAAGCTGCATCTGGGTAAAACGCAGCTACCCACTGCAGTAAAACTACTCTAGTAGTAGTACTCCGTAGCAAGGAGCTGTCTTCTTCCATCCCCCCCAGCACAGATTGTAACCTTCAAGCACTCACAAGGTTCAAGCAGCATCTGCAGCGGCACATCGTCTGATATAGCTCAACTACAATACTACCTGTCCTGGTAGCCTTGAAGCCCAACGGCAGACAACGGGCGGTGGTCGCAAGAATGGGGCATCCGCGGCGTCTACTCCAGATCAACTGTATCTATTATCACAAACCTGATCTGCTCGTTCTGACAATGTCCAGTCACATCACCGGTCACTACACCTTATCATCTCCCAGTTCCCCTTCACGGCGCTGCCATTGCCACTCAACTTACAGCGCGTCGACCTAAGCGATCCCCATCAGAAACTGCACACAGAGGGTTACAAGCCTCTCCCAGATGGCATCGCCACTTCTCCACCAGTGCAAGCGCCAGGGACTGGCTTTCTCCAAGCAAGGCGGAGAAGAGCAAGTCTACCCTAGGACGACCAAGAGTGCCTACGGGCGGGTCAATGCGTGGCACCACCGTTGTGTGGGGAGATTGGGGTCTACGGATGCGAGATCATGACAGAAGAGTTTCCGCCTTGCAACTCAGGACAGGTGAAGAGACCATTCGGAGGAGGCTGCGTGGCCTGAACTACAAGCTCTATACTAGAGTCAGCGCAAACATTGGTGTCTACACAAAAGGCAATGAGGTACGCATGGGTAAAGGAAAAGGAAAGTTTGATTATTGGGCAGCGCGGATACCGGTTAGTAGGGTCGTCTTTGAACTCAAGGGAGACATGCACGAGAAGGTCGTTCATGAGGCGTTCAGATTGGCAGGGCATAAATTACCAGGATTATGGGAGACTGTGAGGAAAGGTGACCCTCCAATGGTGGGTATCACGAAGCTGGGCAATGGGGTGACGTTGGAAGGACTCAAGCGAGCTCGAAGAGCGGTCCCGGACAAGGGAACTGGAGTTGGTCCGGTTATTCCCCCAGCAACCACAGATACACCACCTGCTAGCATTTCAGCTGCAGCATAGTGAATGCATTACAATAGCAAACCCACCAAGTCATGCCCCTACCCCAGAGCCTGGGCCATAGCCCTGCTCTCTTCGTGTTTGAGCCGGCTTCTCCTCGCCTTCCTGTGCTTCAGCACCACCATAGCCACCTGGTTTGGAATCAACCTCTAGCTCTCATCCTCCAGCGAAGACTTTACCTTGACTGGCAGTGCCCTCACTGGTAGTAGTCATCCCACCCATGCCAGACTCGGAGATGTTCTGTCCATATCTGACATTCTCCGCAGTCTGTTCACCCTTTTCCTGCTTCTGTTCATCAACCTCAGATGATCCCGAGGCCATTTTACCTGCAATATTTCAGGCTTTGCCTCAGGCACGTACCCAGGCACAAGGAGCTTACCTCCCAGTTGTCCACTTTGGGTTTCAGTGGGTTTGTCCACGGTTTTGATAGATTCATATCTTGCCAGATCTTAAAAATGCAGTTTTTATGGAGACATGGCTGTACATACTGAGGAGTCTCGCCACCGGGCACTGTGTCCATCAGGTTGCTAGACATTTTGTGAATATGTTTGTGCTGGTTGTGCAGTATGTAATGCTCTGTAATGTGAGAAACCAGGATATTTTAGAAGTCAGCAAAGTCCGCTTCTGATGTTTCTGATGAGAGTCAGCAGAAAATGTGACGTACTAATAAGTATCGTTACCACTAGATTTATATATATGCTTGGCAGCGCCTTGTACCTCCACCAAACAATAGGCTAGCTAACTTAGTAACCAATGTATACTCTGTATACGCAGTAAAGCCCGACTAGAATGGATATGAAGCTACAACTTGAAGTCATGAATCACATACAGATTACCAACAATGCAACAGTCAAGTTCTTAACGACTATTGGGCTATGTCTGGCCCGTTTTAGGAACAGATAGAAATTACAACAAAATTCATTCTTGCATCTCCATCACTCAACATATAGTACTGTGGGCAAAGCCTCTGTACAGGTACAAGGACCTCGGCTCCAGCTCATATCATAACTCAGATTGATTCCAAAGGGCGCAGATGTGTATGGTTATTACAACCTCAAGTTCCAGTTTCTCCCCTCGAATACTCCACCTGGCATGAGCTTGTCAATGCTCGTTCTTTCGGCAGTAGTGTGCTTGAAAGGACCTGTGGTTCCGTCGCCCCTGGCAGATCTTGGTAGAGTGTGACGCTATTTCTACCGACTTGGTCGATCCAGATCCTCGTCGGCGCGTTCCCGCTGCATACTCCAGGATACAAGAAGTTGGTGAGAATGCGGCCTGGTGCGAGTTGGAAGAGGTAATGACGGATGTGAGAGGGTCTCGCTTTGCCCATAAGGGCGAACATTAACGCAGCCAGGCCGATGAGTGCGGCAAGAAACATGACTATTGCGGCCGGGATAGCAAAGACCCATCTGTAGCGGATTTGATGCTCGTAGACCGTGACAGGCACATCAACTGCAGCGTTGTTGCTTAGCGACCCATCTCGTTTGGCGAGATTGGGAGGCAGAGCTGAGCCAGAAATCCAGCTCTTTGTGCCCACGAGGGAATTAGCGGCAATATCTGTCCAGACGAGGTTGATGATCTTCGCGGTTGTGGGGGCGCTGCGGGATATTCCTGCCATTTCGCATACATTGCTATGTTTGTCTTTCCCGAATAATTTGTGACATCTTTGGAGGAGCCAATACTATACGCCGATGAGAGAGCACTTTGGGGGCCGTCTGTCCCAGGAACGTTCTGGTAGCCAGGGAGGCTACTGACGCCCCCTGAAGGATGTCCTGGTAAGTAAAGCCGGTCTGATCGGACAGTAGAAAGATTTACGGCATTCTCGTGCTCGGGAGAGATGAGCCCCCATAGAGGTGTTACCGACCCCAAAGTCATATTTGGATTCTCCACACCCCAGAGAGGTGTGTTGTTTTCCTTTTTGTAAACTTTGTCGGTTATGTTCAAGATTTGAAGAGCTTTCAAGTCGTATTGAGAGGTGCTGTTGTATCTGAACTGTACCGTCTTGATCACAGCCTTTGTCGCACTCGCGCAGCTATAAAGCGGCTGTGTCCACCAAGACTCCGGCTCGAAGATCAGGGATTCACTTCCATCCTTTCGCCTCGCAGCGCCAAACACCAGGCCGCAGGCCGCGCCGATGTTGGTGATGTTGGCGAGATCATTCGCCCCCGCGCCTTGGCAGATAAGATTGATGTCACTGAAGTTTCCCAAGTTGATGTTAAAAGGGTTGGAATAGAAAGTTGCAGGGTCATCAAAGGACGACCTGGAGGTATTGAACACCGAACCGTTTGAATATGCCCAGGGCGCATCGATCAAGACGCCCCACCTGTCGGAGGTCGTGAACGAGTCATATGAGCCAACTCTAGTGGATAGCGGAAAGTGCCTTTCTATTTCCGACTTGAGATATGAGAAAGAGTTGGGTGAGGGCCGTGTAACATTTAGGTAGACCATGGTTAAAGCGTTTGTCTGCCAGGCTGCTTTGTAGGCACGTTCTTTTAGTTTTGGGTCAGTCTGCGTGTCCGTCAGTTCAATCCGAGGGTACGTTCGATTGAGGTTGACGAAGCCTCCCTGATCCACGAGAGACAGATTTACGATGCTGCTGCCTCGGTTTTCGAAGGGAAAAATCATGAACTCCAGGGTGAGGTTAGTGTCGACGCAGGCAGTCTCTGGCTCAATGAAAAGAATATCTTCTGTCCAATCAGCTCCGAAAGTCAAGCCCTGTGGAACGGTGTGGTTTCTAAATCCAACACCTCCGCTCTGAGTATCCACAATCAGACCTTCAATCGGCTCCAGGGCATCGTTCAGGAGCACTGATGTTAGCTGACGATATGTGCCAACGAGGTATCGACTGCCGGTACTGGAGGCCCTATGAACGGCGTACGAATAATGTCTCCATTGAATGTCAAAGAAGCTAGACACGGTCTGCGCTTGTCCGGCGAGGCCGCTTTGGTACAAAGTCGCCAGACTCTTCGGAATTCTCGTATCATAGTCCTCGTCCGGTATCTCGGCAGTAAAGGTGGTCCCGTTGTCCGAGTAGTTGATCTGGACAGTGGTACCTGGACATTGTCGAGGAAGTATATCTTCGCAGCTCCGGGAAAAGCCCAAGTCGCTCCTTGGCGCCGTACCATAGGCCATGGGGCTTCCATCGCGGTGGTAGGAGAAAGGGACAAGAGTAGGCTGTCTGGATGGGCGACAGAGTCAGATAATCCCAATGGCGTCATAACCGCAGCGATTGCCAATAAAACCAAGGCTAATGGCCGCAGCCAGGTTACAAGCGTCACCGTGGTTCTGACCCCACGAGATGCCGCCGTGTCAGAACCAAGAAGAATAGGCCAAAAAGAGCTGTGGAGCTGGCGGCCAACAACCGACCAGGTCACGGCCGAGTTGGTGTCGTTGAGAATCCCAACTAACATCAAAACAATGGCATTCGGCAAGAAGAACTGTATCACATAGACCGTTGCAGCTATGATGCCGGAGACATACCCAACTGTTAGATCGACCATGTCGAACCAGTTGTGTCAATGTCACTAGATTTGATGGCTAAAAGCTTCAACAGATCGCGAGAGCCAACTCAGTGGCAGCGTCGCGATTATCGTAAAGAAGAGTATTAGGGTGTAAGTGTCAAAGTGTCAGAGTGGTTAACGAAGGTCAAAGTACCAAAAACAAAGGAGCGTGATGCCAGGGGCTCCACCATTGCGGTATAGAACGCAAGATGAGAAGAGGAGCAGGCTGAAGGGAGCGAAGTGGATGCGCAACGTCGACTGGGACATATTCAGACTGACCGTGGACACTGGATAGAGCCCAAATGATGATCTTCTATAATTGGACCATGCTACAAAGCCACAAGTGGGAGGCTAAATTTGAATGCGGAGTTACCCGTTGCCCAATGGCCCTCACTTACCAGGGGTACTCCGCCAGGTACTGTACCACATACCAGTACGGAGTTGTGCTTCAAAAGTAGCTAACTAGCGCTAAATTAGCGTCGCCGCAGCGCGTCTTAGCGCTCATCTAGCTCCTATACTAATTTAAAATGTATCCTAGTGGCGTTCAAGTCCCTTGTAGGATCAATTGACAATGCAGTTAGGCACAAATTTGCCAGCGAATTAAGTCAGTAAGGGGTGCATCAATGACTACAGTACCAGGATAAGTATTATTAGCGCGCGCCTAGTAAAATTGTTATTAACACTCCTTATAAAAATTCCCCTATCGCCCTTGTACAGCGCTATGATCTCACTGTCGTCATTCTACACGTTACTATTGATTCTACACGTTCTATCTTATTCTACAATGTTACTGAATTTGACGAAACTTGCTTAGATTCTAAGGATTTATTTGGAACTAGATGAAGGCTTGGATTCTAGAGCACTATAGAAGGATAGAAGGATATTCTGTGCGTTCTTTCTGCGCATTCTACATGCGCATTCTGATTTTGATGGGGTAGTACAGCTTGGCAAGATTCTGCAGCCTTGGCGCCCTAAAGTATGCTCATTAGCCCACTTCTCAAGAAGAAAGGAAGAGGGAAACTTGATCCAATCAGAACGCTGATTCTTCGGCCCGCATATTTAAGCATACAGAGCTTTGCAGCCAATCAATCGAGCATGGCGGTGTGGACACATTAGATGATAGATATTAGCGTTAGTTAATCAAGGAAGATCTAAGCCAACTAGGAAATCTGATATTGATTATAGTAAGATTAATATATAGGTCTACAGGAACTAAGGATCCTAACCTGAAGGACAGAACTAAGGTTTAGCAACAAATAGACGAAGCAGCATATAGTTGTCAAGGGTCATATACAAGTAGCGCTGCTATGTCTTATACCTCTAGATGAGGGACGTACAACAAATATATAGACTACGGATGTGGCAGATTCCGGGAAATAAAAGCGGCGGGAGATAGTGGGATACACTTAACCTGATCGGGCTTAGACAACCCAGGCACTCTAACGTAGAGTATCCTTGTATTTTTATACTCCAATCAACTCTTTGATTCCACACCCTGAATCCTTTGCTCAACGCTCAACGCAACTGCGATGCAAAGAACAGCTGGCATAATTCGCTTTACAAGAACTCGACAAGCGACTTGTTCCCTCTTCCCAACCCAATGTTCGCCTCATCTGCGTCATTCGCAGAGTGTGCAGCGACGGTGGATATCACGAGGTCATGCACAACGACAGCATGCGACTCCTTCTATGGAAGCTATGCAGGCTGAATATGCAAAAAGGAACTCCTCTACACTGTACGCTTTGCAATTCAACGAACAAACAAGAGTAAACAAGGTCTGACGAAGGGAGCAGATACTATGGAATCAGTGCAGGCATCGCAACATTGGCTCTAGCTTATGGAAGTGTGCCAATGTACAAGATGGTTAGTATGGTGCTCACATAGCCATTCCAATGCTAATTGACTGTTACAGATATGTCAGCAAACTGGGTGGAACGGTCAACCCGTCAAGGCGCATGAATCTGGTGAAGATCCAGCACGCCGCCTAGTGCCAGTCACCGATGCCCGCCGTCTTCGGATCACCTTCAATGGATCAGTGTCGGACATCTTACCATGGAAGTTCACACCGCAGCAACGGGAAGTACGAGTTCTACCGGGTGAGACAGCTTTGGCTTTCTTCACTGCAACAAACAAGAGTGAAGGGGATATTATTGGGGTTGCAACTTATGGTGTCACACCAGCCCAGGTTGCTCCATATTTTAGTAAGATACAATGCTTCTGCTTTGAGGAGCAGAGGCTGAACGCCGGGGAAACGGTCGATATGCCTGTCTTCTTCTTCATCGATCCAGACTTTGTCAAAGATCCGGCAATGAAAGGGATTAACACAATCACTCTGAGTTACACTTTCTTCAAGGCTAGATACGACAAAAATGGGGTCCTAACAACACTACCTGCCACAAGTACTTGAGGTGTATCACTCGTGGTAATGGTGTCGCACACTGTACACCGCAGATGTCAACCCGCTTACTGATTACAAATTTGGTATGCAAAATGGGGTACATTCCCGGTCTGGTAGTCTCACGTCTTTATGGGTCATTCCTAACCTGGTAGTCTCTCGTCTTCCTTGTGACATGTTCCAGTTTCAATCTTAGAGCGGACGGGTGAAGGATATCAGACAACAGGATCGGGCTCTTAGGTGTCTTAAGAGCTGGTGTTTGATTAACACATCAGAGAGAGGACAGCAGGAACACAACGGACTGCGCTACTTGGATATTCACTTATGCTTAAGTTGCGGTGTTTACCTAACGGAGACCCAACCGATCTCCCTCACAGCACCTTTACCATCCACATACAATTTCTGGTTCGAACTCAAAGCAAAAATCTTGCGAAGCATCCTGCACAATTACAGTCTCTTATCCGCATTTATCGCATCAGGCAGAATGTTCTCGATGGCGCCAAAAAAGCAACAAGCAAAACAGGTTCCGCCTGGTCCCGGTGATGAGGCGGTCAACAAGTCCTCAGACAACGCTGTCGCAAACCAATCTCAGGCATCTCCAAGTCAGCATCAGGCATCTTCAGAAGTTACCAAGAAGAAGAAGAATCGTCTACAGACATCGTCCGCAGGAAATCCGAAACAGGCTATCGATCTCACTGGCGATGACTCCGACACAGCATCAGCTAGCAAGAGCACTGCAAGCACTGCAAGCACCAAACAATCACAGCCAGCTCCCAAGATGGAGAATGAACCCAAAGACACTCAGGAATCCATGAGCGGACCTCCTGTGCCTGGTCTTGCTTCCTTCGCCATCAACCCACAAACAAGCCTGAGTAACAACAGTGTGATGGGCACATCAGCGACCGAGATCGATGTTGCTCAGAGACTCTTCCAGCCACCGATGAACATGAACACACCCATCCCATTCAGCCCTGCTTCTTTCCCATTCAACCTCCACCCAAACCCAAACCAAAGCCCAAACACCACCACCACCACCATGAACACCACAGCCGACCAAGCATCGCCATCCGACCGCCCCGCCAAACGAGCTCGAATGGACGACCCCGCCAGCACAGAGAAGATCCTCGTCATGCCCACTGTCCAGCAATTCCGCAACATGGCTCCCCCCTCCTACCTCACACCCAGCATGATCAACACCAACACCGCCACCGCCCCACCCCAGCTCTCCTCCGCGCCAAGCTTCGCCAAGAAAATCGAGCTGTCACGTGAGATCGGCGCCGCCCTGGGCATCTCCCAGCGAGATGCGTATCAGCTTCTATTGGAGAATGGGTGGGTGGGGGATGACGCCGTGCTGGCATACCTGGGCGGGGGTAGGCCGAAGAAGGAGGAGGAGTAGGGGGCCGGTGCTGGTGCTGGTGAGAAGGCTGAGGGTTTTGTCCGCTTTTGCAAGCTCAGACGAGCGCATGACATGAAGGAGTTAGCCAGGCTCTTGGTAACATCATTGATCATGGGGAGATGTTGTGACTTGATAGTGTCAGACAAAAGCCTGAGAACCATACAAATGCTGCCTGCTGATTCTTTTGATTCGACTTTCTAACATGTACATGAATCCTCCGGACTGCACCAGCGCCCTCCTAACCCGTATCTTATGTACAGCCTCCCAAACAAAAGGCGCATCTCACCGCTCCCCCACCACGCCCCTCAAAACCCTACCCAGCACTCCCCTCACCCTCTTCCCCTCCCCAGCGACACCATCTCTATTCGGTGAATCTCTGCTTCTATACCTCTTCCTCCCATCATAACCCCGCGGTAACAGCGTAGCCAGCGCCCTCGGTGCCACGAACAGCGCCACCTCGGCCCTCCTGGCCGCGGCCTCGACGAGGATACTCCATCCGCAGAGGACGCAGGCGACGAGGATGCAGAGGCCGGCGTCCCAGGTCTGTGGGGAGATGGCGATGTATTTATTATTGGTGGGGGGGAAGAGGAGCGGGCCCAGCCGGGTGCGGGAGAGGCAGAGACGAGGAGATGAATGTTCCGAGGAAGGCGGAGGAGCGGGCAGCCGACGTTAGGGAGGCGAGGAGGGTGCGTGGGCGGAGCAGGCGGAGGCGCAGCAGCAGTGCCAGTTGCAGGGGGAGGTAGGTTTTCAGGCCGAAGAGGAAGGCGCGCCAGAAGCGCCAGAGGGCGTGCAGTTCGCAGAGGAGGGGCCGCAGCCGGAGTGGATGAGTTCGCATTTTATGGGGATGCTGAGGGCCGGGTCGCCGTAGGATTCGGGGAGGTGGAGGTCTGCGGCCACGCCGCGGAGGAGGTGGTTGGTTCTGCTGTTGTTGAGGCCGTATTGCCAGGCGCCGGATCTGGCAAGCCGGAGGGCCTGGAGGAAGCGCCGGTCGATGTTCGCGGCTTGGTGGATCCAGTGGTTGTAGCTTCGGGGGAGGCGGTGGGGGTGGTAGAACCAGGCGTGCATTATCAGGGCGGCGGAGAGGGAGAATATGGCTGGGTCGACAGCTTTGGTGAGGAATTTGGCGAATTGCGGATTCGTGTGGGTGGGATGGTAGCGGGAGGATTGCGTGCCTGTCCAGAGAGTGATGACCAGGACTGACAGGGCACGTGTAGTAGTGAAGAGGGTGAAATCTATTGTTTTGCCTGCAAGCCGAGGTGGTAGCTGGGTAGGGAGGTGGTGTTGACTAGGCAAATCGAGTGGTTCAGGTAATTGAGATAGGCCTTGGGAACTGGCCCGTTTACGGCTCCAGCAGTCGTCATGGTTGAGAAGCGTAAAGGCAAGGAGGGCAGAGAGGAAGGTGCATATAATGCGGATTGATCGAGTATGGAGGTCATGACGGCCATAAGTGCCGCTGAGATTGAGCGTCCTCCTCAAACTCAATAGAATGGATACAGCAATGCGTGGCAAGAGTGTAGCACCACCAATTATAATGGCACATGATGTAGGAAAGCGGTTGATTTGAGTCGGCGCTCTGAGAATGTTCAGGAGCTGGAAGTTGTCAGATGCTGCTTCGGTCTTTCTGGGGGTTCATAAAGGTAGGAGATACGCAAGAGAGACGATGCAGGCTTGAACTGCAATGTACGCGAAATAAGAATGATATGATATTGCTCACCAATCGCGCCTTTTCTTCGATGGTCGTATCTTTGCGTTTTAGAACACGAAGGAAAACGAAGAGCCTGGGACCCGTCACGCTCAAATATCCCAGAGCATATGCACGAATTATTCTATCAACATGTCAGGCACCCAGGCACCAAAGCTCGTTGAACCATCCGTATGCGTATGCTCTTCCTCCAAGGGTAACGGGCAGACATCATGGGGCGGAAAATGGACATACGGCTTGAAATGGCTGAGATGTATCGTGCGATTTCCCCTTCTCTGATAATAAGTCGACATTCCTTCCGGATTGAAGCACAGCTCGATTCACTCCCTCCAACACGATACAAACAGATTTCAATCCACGGTAGGAGATACATCTTTATCCAGGAGACTGGGCACCTCTGCACAGATACAAGGACATTATGGTACTACTCCAGGCAAGGTTCTCCTCGTCGAGCTAGCGAAGCTGCTGGGGTCATATTTTGGCGTGGCATGTGCCTGAAAATGCCCCTGGCTAAGCTTCCCAGTATGCCATGTTCTATAGCTGGGAGCACATAGACAACACGTTGCACTTGCACGAGAGCTATGTCCGATCGTCGACAACAGGATGTATTGGTTATGCTGCCGTCTCTGAGCCGCACGTGCTCTTCATCGAGCCATCCAAGACGCCATAGACCGTCACCACTATCCACCCTCTACTTCCGAATAGCTCTTTGGTAGAAAGCCAGCTCCTCGCCCTCCAGAACATATCCGTCCACCCGCCCGCTCTGTCCTGGTCTGCTTGAGACAACAGCATACAACCGACCAGCCTCGAACTGTTTCTCCAACGCTTGCTCAACCTTGCCCATCTTCTTCACACGCTCTTCATGTTTCTTCTCCACACTCTTGCTTTTCTTGCTTTCCTCGGTTTCCTGTCCCTTAGCCTGTCTCCTCCTACCGAGCTGTACACCGTAATGTGCCTCGTACCACTGTCGGAATGGAGCGGCATCGATCTGGACGACGGCCGATTTGGTGAGGGTATTGGTACGCACGAGTTCGTTGTTGGAAGGGTGGAAGGCGACCACTATGACACGGACTTTTCGAGCAATCCCTTCTGAACCCCAAGAGAAATTTCCAGCTTCGAGACGAAGCGCTCGGTATTTTGTGTTGCCTCCTCGCGTGCGAACAAGATGGATGCGCTTATTTCCGATTCGAGTATTGGCTGGCTGACGGCCTTTCTCAAAAGCTCTAAAGAGTAGTATGGTCAGAATTGGGAGCTTAACCCTCCATTTGCTATATATCTTACCTCTTCTTCCGATAGAAGGCACGTTTTGCACCAGTCGCGGACCGCTTGTGGCGGGAGTCTCGTGAGATACCCATAATTGCCTATCTGAAAAGAACTCGAAATACAAAGTTAGCAAGTTTTCCATGATTTTCTAAGATTCTCGGTAGATAGCATGTGTAATTTGATCGAAGCCAATGAGAGCGGAGTCACAGAGTCTTTGTTCGTTTCTCATCTCATGCTCTCATCTCATGCGGCCAAACCAAACTTGTTATTGGAATCTAAGGCTTCGTGCACATACCTGCGACTTGGGATCGTCACCAGAGCAATGAAGGTGTCACTGGGGATATTGCTGTGGTGTTGAAATGGCTGGTCGTTGTGCACAATTTCATTTGGTGTGCCAAAATTGCCAACCCTAAATTCATTCCAAGCTAGTCCATTTCAATGCTAGTCCAGAGCCGGTCTTGGCAACCGCTCTTGCTTCCAATCAATGATGCCTTCACTTCTGCAACCACCACAGTACCTAGGTGATCTCTTTTAAGCTTAGGAAGTGCTCAGGACACATAGTCAGTCAAGCGATGCTCTTACATGCAGGTAAAGCTCATCTTGCAGATGCATCCAAATGAAAGCATGTGGTACAAGATACAGACACCATCTCTATTCGGTGAATCTCTGCTTCTATTGACTGGTATGGTTGCAATTCTGTGCACTTCCATTTCTTTGCCTACGCCCGTCTTTGCATTCGTAGTTGTTAAAACTTGACTACCATGACAAGATCTATCATATTGACTGGTGCGCCTGCACCGAGCGACCTTCAGTGGGATGAATCTGCATTGTCCAGCATACCAAACGTCGAGGCCGGAGAAGTCATGGGCAAGCCAGTAACACCAGAGAGCTCTCCCAAGTTCTCTGCCCAATGGAGAGTAGTATTGCCCAGGAAGTTGCCTGGCTATCATCATCCGCAAATTCTCCATGATGACGTGCTTCCGGCTGGTTCAAGCAAAGCTATCTTTCTCACCACAGCGGAACTGACTGACCGACCACCTTCTCAGAATGAAAGCGTGTTAACAAATACCAATCCATCTACAGCCTCGATGCACACGGCAGCAGAGACTCTCGATGATTTCTACGATCAATCTCTTGCCCTTCAAGGGGACCTTACCACTTCTCAGCTCTCTGAATTTCAAAGCCAGAACACCAGTCTGATGAGTCCCCAATGGAGCGAAGAAAGGACCCAAGTAGCACAATCCACTTCTGCTTCGATCTTACACACCTCTCCATCATTTATGATAGCACCCCAACACCTCAATGCCGTGAAAGACATACCATCTGCGGCGTACCTTCGAAGCATCGAGCCTCAGACCATGACTGTCAACCTTATTGTTGGTGTTATGGCCCTCCCATCACCTCGGTCAGTCATGGTGGGCCGTCGTTGGGGTCAGGAGCGGGAGATGCAGCTACTAGAGATGCTGGTGGGAGACGAGACCAGAGCCGGTTTCGAGATCACTATGTGGCTCTCAAATAAGGCTAACACAACCGAAGGGTTGCTTCGTCCAAGTGCTCTCGAGATACAGCTGCAAGGACTCAGGCCACGCGATGTGGTTCTGCTACAGAACATTGCTCTTTGTGCTTACCAGGGAAGAGTACATGGGCAAAGTTTGAGGAGAGACGTCACAAAGGTGAACTTACTATATCGCAGAAAGCTTGATGACACGGACCCAGGCGGAAAGTTTTCTTCAAGGGCATTGGCCGAGTCGGATGCCTCAGATGCAGTCATGGAGAAAGCAAAGAGGGTAAAGCGATGGCTGACGGACTTTGTAAGCGATGAGGTACCAGAGAACTCCCCTGACACCGCTTTTGTGGGACGAGCTCGTCTCCCTCCCGATACACAATAGATATTACTGACCTAGAGCCATGCTGCTCTGGCGGCGGGTGAGCCTGAGGCTGATTAATGCTAGTGGTATACCTCGGCAGTGTCGCACTGAGTTCGTGGCACGTGACCACGAGCGATGTTGGGAAAAGCATTCGCGAGGCAGGTGTGCCGTGAGCGATCAGTGTCCTCTGTATTGCTTGAACGTATCAGAATTGGACGATATGCGAACCTACCAACCTATTCACCTCCAATTTGCCCAATGAAGTCAGAACTTCACTCATTCGCAGGCTCGCAGGCATGGTAAGGGCGTGCTTATATCAGTTGTTATGACTGCATAGGCGTCCCATTTTCAGCGGTGAAGAGCTAAAAGAAAGAGGAAGGCCTCAGTACTTTGCGATCAATATATCTTTAGCGTGGCCTGATGAGATGCTTTGATCAAGGACGTTGATGTCGGAAAATCATCGAACGTCCCCTCAACGAGACCAATGCGCCGCCAGAAGCCATCACCAAGGGTCGGAAGCGGCTTAACCACCGGAGCTGCCCACGTTAATTGTCCATTCCCGAAAGTGCCTGTACGAACATGGGGTACTAGAAAAGATCCTCCGCCTGGGCGGAATCTGTCTGGCTTCCATGGATTATGACTGAGGTTCGAGCATCATCCGAATCAGAATTCCCTAGAATGTTGGCTTCTTGATCACTTTCATCGTCTTTGTCATCAGTATCATCAAAGAAGAATATATCATTGACTTCAGGCGCATCTCAAGGGGACGTATCCGGATGACACCAAAGGCGACCATCCCTCGAATTTCAACGTGCCCGCCGCTGAGCCCGTCGCTGAGTTGCCCAAGCGCTTCGGGACCTACTAGCTCGAGCTGAACATCGAGGAGTTGAGCTGCTGCTTTGGGGGCCTCATAACTATGATAATCCGCATAAGTGGTAGCAGTCCTTGCCAAAGCCCAAGACCAGGAAGGTGCGGTATACTGGATATAGTCGCCAACACCGCTGTGCCTAGGTCCTTCCCGCGACTCAAACATGCTAGATCTCTGCACATGTCGGTCTTCCACAATCCCGCCATATAGACGTTATCAGTTTTCAGCTGCACGACACTTACCAATGCTGCAGGCGCTGGGAATCTGTCGCTGTTGAAACTCGGCGTAGTAGCTGTGTAAGTGCTCATAATCTAATACTAGAAGAAGATCCATCACGACGGCCGATTCTTCAATGTATCAAGTGATGTTTTCTCGATCAGATGAGACACCTTCAGAGTTATGCATAAGTATCTTCGTAGCATCGATCGGTAAAGCATTCCCAATACATTCTTTTCGTTCCACAGTACAGCACATGTGCCGAAAGCAGTCTCTCTTGCAACACCCAGGTCTTTTTGCTCGGCGTCGAGTCGTCTTCAGGCTCAGACCCAATGAGTATGGCACCAATGGATTGCAACATCACCTCGCAATGCGTCGTGCGGTTGTTTAATTGCCATCTGATGTCCGCCAAGCCATGATCCGCCGGTGTAAAAATCCTGCTCCACAATCTGCAGCGGCAGGACCAGCAATGGTCACCACTAAATTTCCGTATGTTCCCGGCATCCTCTGGCACCCATGCTCCCAGTCTTCCCGTGAACATTGTATGATACACAGAGAGAGTCAATCCACAGATAAGGCACATCGAGCGCACGAGTAATTGTTATAGCATCTTGAAACGTTCTTGGGAAGCTTTCAAATGGCATACTGCTAATATTTTGCTTATATGTTGACGTCGTAGTGAATACTGGCTCGGAGCTAGTACCCCAGCAGTGACTCAAAGCTACATACCGGCCTGTCTGGCCTTAGATTCGGTAAATAGCGATTCCCGTTTTCTGTTAGTGGAGCCTACTATGATGACTCGCGTAGGAAGCTGGTATGTTTGTTCCTGGGAGCAGTTAGAATGGTGCCGAATACAGTCGTCTATCCGTTGTCTAGCAAGCGAGATATCTGTATATGCGTCCATCGATCTTCCCACAATACCTCACATAGCCGCATTCTCTAGCTGCGTAATTCAAGAATTGGTTTGGAGATTGTCGTCGCTTTTCCAACCACATACGAACCAGATGACACGTAAACCGAGATATGAGGACAGACTTCTTTCAGAGGGTCGATATTTGCTTTTGTGCGTCGTACAAATAGAAAGACTCTCCAAGCCCTCCTCAAATGGAGCAGATGTTATATCAAGTTCTCCGTGATGGGATGCAACGAAGAAATTACGGCGCTCAGCTTCCTCGGACATATCTTCGTTATCGCCTTGCAAGAGAAAGCCCTCTTCCTCGTCCAGAGCAGGCGAAGACGATGGGGTATTGTTCCAGCATAATAGTTTTGAAAAGTCTGCAGAGTTTACAACCATCACCAGCCGAGTTGGCGAGATCTGGTAGGAGGTGTGGTGCTTGATTACCTATTCTTTGGGTGGATGTGGTGACTGCATTCTTACGATACACACAGAGCAAATTGTCAAGATATGTGTCGTGATGTTGCTCCATTGCTGCGGTAGTAGTAGGTGCTAAGACTTTGTTCGTTGTTTCTCATCTCATTCTTCAGATTCACCGCGTACTACTAGTATGTAAGAGCTGCTCCTTGCCTACATCATACAGGAAAGTCGGCCAAGGAGCTAGTTAGGGGATGTGGCTTGTGCCCTGAGGAGGCTCAAACTGTAGGGACTTCTTCGAGACAAGGATATACTAGTAAAGGGGCAGGGACCGTCACGAGGTACTGCAGATGATAGTGTGTGTGCATGGGTGTCTCCGCTGCGGAGAAGGAATCTCAAAAAGACACCTGTTCAAGGGTTGACTGTAACACATACAACTCCAATTGAACCATTGACTTGACAAAGACTACTTTTCCCCGTCGCCTTTCAGACTGGTCAGTCTACTTTCATTAAATCTATTCAACATTCACGCACGCCTTCGTTCACCCTTCCGCTGAAGACGTTACCCTCATCAAGGCTTGCTTCGCCCTAGACGCATTCAAGAGTCAACATGAAAGGTACACTTAAGAATCCCTTTTATGACGAACTGCGACTCACTGAATTCTTCAGCTCTTATCCTTGTCGGCGGCTTCGGCACCCGTCTGCGCCCGTTAACCCTTACCCTCCCTAAACCTCTGGTTGAATTCGCCAATCGGCCCATGATCCTACATCAGATCGAAGCATTAGCAGCAGCTGGCGCAACAGATATCGTACTCGCAGTCAACTACCGCCCTGATGTCATGACCGCCGCCCTCAAGAGATATGAGCAGAAGTATGGTGTCAACATCACCTTTTCAGTCGAGACCGAACCACTAGGTACGGCTGGTCCCTTGAAACTGGCCGAGAAGATCCTAGGCAAAGACAACTCCCCTTTCTTCGTCCTGAACAGCGATGTCATATGTGATTTTCCTTTCACCGAATTAGCCGAGTTCCACAAATCCCACGGCCAAGAGGGGACAATCGTCGTCACCAAAGTGGAGGAACCAAGCAAGTATGGCGTGGTGGTGCACAAACCCTCCCATCCCAGCAGGATCGACCGCTTCGTCGAAAAACCTGTCGAATTCGTCGGAAATCGAATCAATGCCGGCATCTACATCCTGAACCCCTCCGTCTTGAAAAGGATAGATTTGAGACCGACATCCATCGAACAAGAGACGTTCCCAGCGATATGTAAGGACGGTGAATTACACTCTTTTGACCTCGACGGATTCTGGATGGACGTTGGACAACCCAAAGACTTCCTGAGCGGAACATGTTTATACCTCGGCTCACTAGCGAAGCGCAGCAGCAAGCAGCTTACACCTGCATCGCTACCTTACGTCCACGGCGGGAATGTCCTTATTGACCCGTCAGCGAAGATCGGAAAGAACTGCCGCATTGGCCCGAATGTTACGATTGGCCCAAATGTCGTCATCGGAGATGGTGTACGATTGCAGAGGTGTGTTCTGTTGGAGAACAGCAAAGTCAAGGATCACGCATGGGTCAAGAGTACGATAGTAGGTTGGAACAGCTCGGTAGGGAAGTGGGCTCGATTGGAGAATGTCACAGTGCTGGGAGATGATGTTACGATTGGTGATGAGGTTTATGTGAATGGTGGAAGTATTCTGCCGCATAAGACCATCAAGCAGAACGTTGATGGTGAGAAACTTGCCATTCTTCCAGATTTGAGCATAGCTAACCCGGTCTGCAGTTCCGGCGATCATAATGTGACCTCTCACTTGCTAATCCTCATTCACCATCTCCATTTCCTGTTCTCTCTTCTCTGGCGTTGATTCTTTTCACGAGATGGGGCAAAAAGAAGCCATAGAGGAGACTGATCACATCTCCAATCATCAGCGGGTAGGTGGGTGTCACGCATAGTTTGGAGTCTACAATCATGTACTATTATCTCCAATTCTATCGATGTACTCTGGAGCCAAAGACTTCTCGAATGCACAAGAATTGCGCTTCAACCAATTTGCTTCTCAAGTTCTTATGTATTTCTTCTTGATACGCAGTTTCATATATTATTGACCTAATCGGCCCGGAGAATGACTAGGCATATCAACACAGATAAGCAATCAAACCTTTCCATGCCATGCACCAACAACTTCCAAACCAAGCACGCTCGATCTCTTGCTTTCTTCTGTCGTCGATGATCTAAAATGGCTTTGCGTCCCAACCAGCTGCGACTTACTAGTAAGGCATCCCTGGCCATGCAGGCAGATGGAAGCCTCAACAACACTTCTACCACCAAAAAGACATATGAAATGCGAAGTCACCTGCCTCGTTCTACCAGCAAATCAACACAGCAAAAACTCTTAAGACATAATAATTATAAAAAACAAAAAGTAAGAGAGTTCTTTAGTATACATTGATTATTAAATTAATGTGCGTTGTCATCTTAGATCTTGAAAAAAATTCGAAGTTTGATAAAATTCCATCTTAAGCTCCCACGGGACTGAACTCTAGGTCACCGTTTAATTTCCTGTCTTTAGTTATTACTTAAATACACTTGTACTTTGATCTGTTTCGGTAAAGGTTTATATATCCTACGCTAAGCGGCAAAGAGCTGCTACACGGGCCGGGTTTAAATTTCTAGCACTTGAAATAAGTAAGATGTTAATAATCGATTTTCTTTAGATTCTTACTAAAAATTCATGATTTATGTGTTTTTAAAATTGAAAACGTTATCACTAGTATATACTGAACATGACCATTTAGTCCTTGAAAGCAGCATCAGCAGTTACGCCAAGGATTTGCAATACTCAGAGCAGACAAGCTGCCCCACAAGCTTAAAAGCCCCCCTTTCCACACCTACAGAGCACCCGCGCATAGGTCTTACTGGCCTGGCCGGTCTTACCCCCCATGGGGTGCCGGAACGGGTTATTCAATAAATCAATCAATCGTTCTAACAGGTAAATAAAAACTTGCCCGTCCCTCTTTTGACGCTCTCTGTACTGCTGCGTTGAGTAATTTGCCTGTGGTATGGATGCCGAAAGTCTATCAAGGGCGGGGCCAAGGCAGTACCTGAGACATCAAGCTTCTTGGTCAAAACTTCATGGAGAGGAACAGAAATAGGGTGGCGGCAAGTGTCAAGTTTCCAGTTGCCAGTTGCCAAACGTTAGCGGCACATTGTGAGCGATTTCCGGGAACTGATCGGTTATCGACAAGACTGATCATGTACATCTCGTGAATGCTTGGTACTACCGTCTTTCCGAGTCGTACCGTCTTCTTGATGCAGGTAAAACGGTGGCACCAGCCGGCGGACACTTTCCAGACAAGAAATGCGCAAGTCCCTCGTGGTTGGGAGGAAATCTCTCTAGATTATCCCGACTCCGGCATGCCAGAGAACCCTGGACGAAGGAGAGAACAAAGTCGACCCATTGGACGGCATCCTCGGCCACAGTGATCTCCCTGGGATTGCAGACCTCAATGCCGCCAGCTATACCACTGAAACACCATTGATAGAACTGGGAATCTGTCCCATGCAGCATGAGTCCAAGTTGTGTCGCATTTGGTGCATCCTCAATCGCAGCAATAGCCTCCGAACGAGATTTGTTCGCTAATCCAGGACTGTCCCTCCAGTTTCCCTTCATCCTCCGCCGGTTTGTTACGTCGCGCTGATAAGGCATTGAGATCTCCAAAGCCTGATCGAAGTGAATGACAGCTTGAGCGAGTCGTTTAAGTTCTGCAGTCGTTAAAGCAGGATCTGGTCTGACGTGGATGAACGATCTGAAATCGTATGGCTGAACCTGGTAATGCTGATTAAGATGCGTCCATGTTGCTTTTATGTGTTCCTGCCACGGGCAGGGTTTCTCTAAATTTTCCACAAAAGTTGGTGAACAAATTTGCACTGGCCCTAGTTCATCTTGTGAGACGTGCAAGCGCTTTAGAGGAATGGAATTGACTCACGGGGTACTCCAGGCATGGGCGGTACATCATGGTCAATTTCTGTAGCCCACGTGGACGTATCTCGGAGCCAGATTGGCGGCATCCAAGGTCGAAAAATATACGTGGTCGTCATCCGAGGGTGCTGAGAGGGGAGCAATCTATTGTGCCTATTTTTGACATGCTCTAAAAACTGTGTCATAGTCCCTCTGACATCCTCATCCTCCTTGGGAGCAATCAACACTGGTACCTCATAACTGAAGCCGATTCGGCGGCCATGAGCTCGACGCATGGCCAAAGATGGCCCTTGCTTTTGCTTCAAACCCAGGTTTGTGACCGGTATGGTGCCTCGAACATGAGGGGTGGGCGGGTCAGTCGTGCAGACCACCGGGGGCGGGCTGGTCACCGTCTCGCCCAAATGCCCTCTCCGATAGCGTAGGTCTATTTTAAGTGGATGAGAACTCTTGCGGGATTTGGATGGGAGGAAACGCGGAGCTTACCAATGCATTCGGGGTTGCGCTCATTGAGAGACCTCTGTGCACCCTCTGAACGTCCGCTCCCGGTATCATTGACTGGGGCCATTTCGACCTCTCGGGAAGCGCGTCCATATACTTGTGGTTGATTACGCTTGATCAGCTGGAGTATGCAATCACAAAATTCCCTGTACTTCAGGTGCCTACCGCAACCTAGACACGGCATGCTTTTGTTGGAATGTCAGCAATATAGAAGGTAAGGCAAAAGAAGATCTCAAGCAAGAAAAACTAGGTAGTCACAAATTGGTGTGGAAAAGATGTTCATGCGTGAAGGAAAGCGTGATAGTATATAGTACCACTTTGGTTATAACTTGCATATTGGAGATGATTGCGAAGGAAGAGTCATTCACCCCATTACCAACAGCGCTTCTGCAAATTTATGTACTGATCATGATCAGCATTGAATTCATCTTCTGCGGCAGATTTGGTACCAGAGACGCAGGGGGGGGGGGTTTCAATCCGATAGCCTTCTTTTAAGTGAGTATCATAGCTAGGAGCTAGTCCTCATACCAAGGCTACATACACATGGGTGAATGCAGCTTCGATCTGAAGATCATAATAATTCCCAAGAGCCCAAAGCCTACACCAGAATAATGTGGATGACATGCACGGCTGTTTGCAAGACGGTTTAAAACTTGCGTATAGGTTTGCCTGCCGGAACAAATCCGAGACTGCTCTTGAAACTTTCCATGAGACTACTAGTATTCATTAGAGTATTTGTCGCTTCACCGGTTGTCTCATATATATCTGAAGGCCTGATATTGAAACAGACATCTCAGCTAGGGATTTTGAAGCCTAGGTCTTAAAGTTTATTGCCACATGCACGCGTAGTATGATGGATTATAAGGGTATTATCTTATCAGATTTTTTTTTAGTGAAGTTCCATCGGGTTAGTCAGCATCGCCGCCCTGCTCAGGCGCTATCCATCCTCGGCTCATCCTCGGCGCAGCTTGCTCACCCACTTGCTCAGGCTGCTCAGGTTGCTCAGGTTGCTCAGGTCTTGCTCAGTCACCTTTTCCTTCTGCCCCTATAAGCCAATCATGCATCATAGTCTCATCGTCGTGTCATGTCTTTTGTCGAGCAACACAGCTTAACGCTGGTACGGCCGTATGGCTAACAACCTCCTCGCAGGGCAGCGCAACCAAATCCCGAAGCGGCTTAGCGCCACTCTGGCGCGTTACGTGCCCTGATTTCCTGTGCCTTAGCACAGGAAATCCCTTTTAGGTAGTTACTAGAAAACCTAGATAGGATAATGCACAACACCACAGAGTGAGAACTTCAACAGGTTATGAGCCCGGCTTCGTGATTACTGAATAGGTAAGCAAGGAGGCAGCTCTGGCAAGCTTTACTTCTATTGAATAGGTCAGATAGGCTCTTACCCAGCTTATCCCATCCTTCCTTTAATTGAATAAGCAAGCTAGGCTGCTGAACTGCCACATCCTTCCTTTAGTGCTCTCCGTTGCACTTATTCTGTTCAAGCCGAACTCTATTTGTGCTCTGCTCCGTTTACTAGCTATCGTATAAGCCAATTGACCCTGTTCGCAGGAGAGAGACCTAGAACGTCTAGAGAAGGCCTAAGAAGCTTCTTTGCTGAGCTCATTCCGTCAGAAGGAGAGAGACCTTAGATGACGAAGCTATTTCCCTGTGTTGCATCTAGTTTGCAGGATCTGCTAAAGTGGCTGTAGAAGCATAACAAAACTGGCATCCCTTCCTCCCTAGCTGTTTGGCTATTTCTCTTAGGACAGACTACAGAGGCTGCAGGCTAAGTATATAAATAACAAAATATCTAATTCTTATAATTTCTGAGACTTATTAATTATTAATAATAATTTTAACTCTTAAAAAGAGCAACCTAATTAATACTTAATAAGTCTCTTAACCTCTAATAAATATATTAAAAGACTAGTTCTTTTATTTAATTATTTTTTAAGGACTTAGAGATAATAATTATTAAATAATATATATATATTAAGAAGTAACTCTTCTTATTTAGTACTTAGAATATAAATATAAGAAGGCCTTAAAGTTTATAACTTAGAACTATATTAGCAAATTCTATAAATATAAGATTAAAAAGCAAAGTATATATATAGCTTATATTAAGCTAAAGAATCTAGCTTAAAAAGTTAGAGAATATAACGTAACTCTAGATGCTATAATAATACCTAGACACATCTTTAACCATCTAATATCTATATTACTAAGAGAGCTTATAGCCTTAGGTTATATCCTGTAGGCCTAAGAGGTTAAAATTAAAGAAGGACTTATATAGCTAGAGGAGACAGAGAAGACGCTTGATTCTGTACTAAGTAGAAGATGAGAGAAAGCCTACTACTCTAGGGCTAACAGACGTCCCTCTCCAAAATCTAGCAGCTAATCTCCTTGCTAATAAGTCTTTAAGAGCCCTAAGTATAGCTGCTGCCCTTATTATTACTTATTAAATTATTTATTATCTTCTTCTTTATTAGCTAATAGCAGAAAGGAGCTCATCTATTATTAATATAATAAGATTAGGCATGCTTCTTTAGATTACCCTAACTGAGAGCTTATTCTTTATCTCTTTAAGGAGTATCAAAAGAAGTCTATATCAAGATCTATGTTAAATAAGTCTTAGTCTTACTAAAATCAATTCTTGTAGTAACCTCTCTTACTAAGGAGCAGTTATAAAGCATCTAAGTCTATATACTTTTTAAAGTTAATATAAGCTTATCTAAGTAATAGCAAGGCTAAGGACAAGGACATATCTTAATCTGATAAATAAGTAGCTTCTAACAAAAGTAATAATAATTATTAAGCCTATATTACTATTAAGATAATAAGCCCTTTAGCTAATATTAATAAAAATTCTATATTAGTATCCTCTTTTTATCTAAGTAAGATATCTCTAATAGTATTCTAATCTAATCCTAATTCTTTTAACTAGATTTATAATAATAAAGTAACCGCTTATATAACTAACTAGATTAATATATTTAAATTAGACCTTATAATTAATAAATTAGGTTAGTATAAGGTTAAGGTAAATAGTAAGACTCTCTTTATTTAGAAAAGAGGTACTATTAATATTAAGTTATTATATAGTAATTTAAGATTATATAATACTTTATTTATTCCTTATTTAGGCATAAATTTACTCTTTACTTCTTATATTATTTTTAAAGGTTTTTATACTATATATAATTATAAGTTATATATAGTCTATAGAACTTTAGATAATAAAAGCATATTTTAAGCAGAAAGGCTTAATAATAAATGTTTATAAATTATTATTTAAGCAGCTAATAATCTTACTAAATTAACTAAATAAGCTTACTTTGCAAAGAAATATAAGAAAGTAGGAATTAGTTCTAAGGACTAGTTAGAGGCTTATTTTAATATAAGTTATTTATATTAATTAGAAATAAGAAAAATAAAGATCTTTAAAAAATATAATAAATAATATTATTGCCTAGAATTTATTAATAAAAGGAAGCTTTAATATTTTTATAAAGTATTAAACTTATTTACTATTATCTTTACTAAATCTCTAATTAAGTATAAATATAATATTTATAATATAGTAAAAGCTAAAAAGAACTAGAATTATAAGCTTACAAAGCAAGTAAAAGCACCCTTAGACCTAATCTCTATAGATATCTATAGTAAATTCTTAGTAACAAAACATTAGAATAAAGAATATTTTCTTAAGGCAATTAATAATTATACTTAATATAATATTATCTTTACTAATATTATTTAAGTAGATATTGCTAAACAGTTTTTTAAATAAAAGAAAACTATAGAATTACAGATTAAGAGAAGACTTAAGGCTATTTATATTAATAATATAAAGGAACTTAATTTAAGAGTCTAGATATAAGTAGATAAATCAGATATAAAAGTATAACCTATAATACTATATATATTAAGCCAAAATAGAACTGCTAAATAAGCCTTATAATTTATATAATCTATTATATAGTTAATACTTACTTATGCTTAACTTCTAAAGAATTATTAAAACCTTATAGTTTTAGTAGCCTCTTTTATTAAAAATAAGCTTTCTAATAGTCCTAATCTAGAAAAAAAAATAATAATAAGCTTAAGCAATCCTTTAAGTAAGCTTAGTCTAAGAAAATTCCTTAAATTAATATACTTTGTATCTTTAGCTTTAAATGCTTTATTTATATTAATAAACTAGAAAACAAAGTAAGTTAATATAAAGAGGTAAGCATCTTTCTTAGTTATATTAATTCTGCTTAGTATTAGATAAAAATCATTAAAACTAGCTTACTAAAGAAAGTAAATATAGCTTGCATCTTAGTAGACAAGGATACGCCTAATAGTACTCTTCTCCTAAACTTAACAAATAATAATAATCCTGATTTATTAAGAATAAGAGAAGGATTAGAAAGTACGCTAGTCTTACTTACTAAGAAGGATACAGACTTAGTAATATTAAATAAAGGATTTAGCTTAAGTAAGAGTATAGAGGATGTTCAGAAAGGTCTAAAGCTATCTAGCAACTTAGATAAAGATGTCTAAAAGGATCTAAAACTGTCTGACAATTTAAAGACTATTAATAAACCTTTATTATCTAACGCCTCTTAAGCTCTTAAGACATTTCTATAACTAGGTTTACGCTCTAGCACTAAGGTAACAAGGGAATTAGACTTAATAAAAGCTAACAATCCTTCTAAAGACAAATTGCCTAATATAGTAAGTGAATTTAGCTATATATATATAGCTAAATTATTGCCTAAAGCAAAAACCTCCCTAAGAATTTTATTATTAAGATTCCTCTACTAGACTAAGAATCCTGTAAGTTAAAAAACCTTCTCTTGCTGTTACTTCTGCCTTAAAGACATTTAAATATTATATTAAAGACAATATTAGTTTTAAGGATAATAAAAAGGCCTGGCTATCTCTAGAAGAAGCTAAAACTAATATAAAGAATATTGTTCCTAAGATTAATATAATTATAGCGGAAATAGCCTTCTAGATAAAAGCAACTAAAGCTAATTAGCTTTATAGAGTTAAGAACTAAGTCCCTATTCCTATAAGCTACAA